GTATACACATTGACACACAAAATATTATTTTAATAAAATTTAAAACCAGATTTTCTTAAAAATTAACACCACACAGTTATCTTTTTAAGTGGCATCAAAATACCACAACTTGAAGTTTTAATTAGAAAAAAAAAATCTAAACATAGCTATGTGAAGAGTAAAAAAAGCCTACTCTCCTCTACTTCTATTTACATCAGGTACATTTACTGTAGTAAATAAGCACAAAAAGCAGTGTTAAATATTTACTATTCTGAGTTTCTTAGAGAATTTTCATCACTGTCATACAGAAGTAAAGATACAATTAAATCTTCAATTGCTACTAATGTATAAAGATACATTTTCATATTTCCTTGGAGATTAACTGTTTTGGAAGGTTTTCGTTTTTCTTCCAATTTTGCCAAATGAACATCTTTTTGAATAAGCAGTGCTATAAGCAGGAAGCAGCATGTTTGAGGAAATCCAGGAACGAAGATTCCTTTTTCATTACTAAGTACCTAAGTACATCTAAGTACGTAAGTAGCTTCCTGGACAGGAGAATGGAAACATCTAGGGGAGAGCAAACAACGATAAACTCCAGCTGCAATAAAATAAATACTTTTGCTCAGCTTGAGTCTACTGATTTTGTTCCTCCCCTTTCTTTCCCCTGTCCCTCTCTGCACAGTTGGCTCTAAACCCATTACTAATAATTTCTCAATACCTGTCAATTCCCATACTTGCCTCATTTCACCTACAGTTTGATCATCACGTTTATTTTGTTCAGTTTCTTCTGATCTCTAGCAGTTGCCAAGTCATAAATACACAGATCTAAAACACCAAGACGCTTGCCTAACCTAAATGTTTCTGCAAATGTGCTTTTTATTGAGTTTAACAGGTTACTATGTACACACACCTAACAGTGTATTTTATATTAAGAAAAGTGCTTCTGTTCAATTTGCTTCTGTATTTCACAGCCACTACTTCAAAGGTATAGGATCTTTTTTGGACCTGAAAGGGACAGTCTTGCATGCTTTGTTGTTGTTTACCTTCACACTGCTTGTGATTGATTCACATTATGCCAATGCAGACTTCGTTATTTGGAAAGGAAATGGGTCTTGTTTTCAAAACTTGCCAAATCCTTACTACTACTGCTTCAGCTTTTTAGTCAAGATATTTTCTTAAAGAAAAAAAAAAGAAAAACAAACAAACATTTGATTATAAATATCAACATTCTTCTTCTAACTAGAATATTAACTAACATCATTATTTCTACAGTGGCAATATATTTTAACAGTATGAACTCTTCTTCCCCTAATCCTCTAGCTCACTACAAAATTGTGTTCCAAACATCACACTGCCTACTGCTTAGCTGATCTCTTACATTAAAACGGATAGTTAATAATAACCAGAAATTGCTTTGTTACAACCACATTAAATAAAAATAATAAAAAAAAACCCAACATCATCTTACTCAAGTTGCATTTCCATTACGTTGATGGAACTGGTAACTTGAGAAACTTTCACTATGTCTACTTCAAACAAGCAAACAACAACAAAAGAAGAAATGAAACCAAAAAACTGAAAATTTAAGTACAATAAAGTAGCTGAGATTATTTCATAGATAGTCGTCAACATTCTATTAAAAATTAAGAGTTTTCTTGTTCCTAGACAATAAATTCTGATACTGAGATCTGATCTGGGTCAATGACAGTCCTACAGTGATCTTTACATAATGTGTTCCGAACATACTGGACTAGTGAAGATTCAGGCAAGTAGAATCAGAGTCTCCTCATTCTAAAAGACTCATCTGTAAGGTACCATCATTTAAAATCCCTTCGTTCTCTCTCTTTCAGTGTGGTTCAAAGCATCTTTAATCACTATCTTAACAAACTCTGGGTAAAGATAAATACCCGCTGTCTGGGTAAAGATAAATACCCGCTGTCTTTTGTCAGCAAGCACTGGCCTATACTGAAAACTCATGCAATACAATCATCACTTCAAAGTATTATGAATACATATTTATAGAAAGTAATATTGTATAACTTCTCAGGTAGCAGATCAGCATTCTCTATTATTTCTGTCTCTACAGATAAAGTGGGATGCTTAAGATTTCGGGTTTTTTCTTTTGCAAAATAGTAAAAGTGAGACGTGGTTAGGAGTTAAAAGTTTTTTGGGGGGTAATCAGTGGTTATTAGTAATCTCCGACCTTCAAAACAGCATAACCTGAGCAGGAAAAAAGACAAAATACAAAATATAAGAATTATTATTTGCCGTTCTCTCCCAAGCAACCTAATACTTATAACAGAATGCATATTTTCAACGTAAAAATATGCTATTTCTTTGTTTGGATAGCAGTGTTGTTTTCGTATTAATTCAGAAAAAAAGCATGTATGTTCTGTAGACCAAATAATTCAATGTAACCACAAAAAATGTTAGCGATTACTAAGTTTTTAACTTCTTTTTCATTAACTTTTTTCAGCCTTAACAAATGGATTAAGTAACTTTAAATTGGGAATAATTTAATAAGCAGAATAATAAGCAGAGAGAATTTGTATAAATAAAAACCCTTTGAAAGAAGCTTGTTTTGAGAAAGATGTACACCTAGCTATTAATTCCCTTCCATTTGTTTTTATAACCTAAAGGAAAATTAATTAAAATCTTTGTATAATTTCTTTCTGTTCTTATCCCATTGCACATTTAAATGGAAAAAAACGTATGCATGTCAACTTCACCATTTACAGAACATTCTTTCACAGAGTTAGGCCCTTTTGAGTTCACTATTTGCCCTGATTGTTCAGCAGAGCAAGAGAAAGCTTCAGCCAGCTGCCAGCTCTCAGTCCAAGCCCATCAGTCTAGGGAAAACTGTTCCTCAAACTAAGGTCTAGACTCATGTGTGGGCAATAGATTTCAAAAACACAAGAGGAAAGAATGCTAACAACATTTGAGTGTTCAGAATGGTCAGATAACAGACAGTTTTAAACTCAAATAATGGTTGCATTCATGCTTCCATGTATTTATATTGTAAATTAGTATCAACCTTGAAAGGAAAAGGTATTTTTCTTTTCTTATTTCCTTATTTTTTCTTATTTTTCTTTTCTTTTTTCCTGTTTTTTTTTTAGAACATCTAAAACTGGAAGCTCCTTGTAGAAAGATTCCTGTCTTTATTCAGACACAGAGAGTTTGAGAAGGGAACTTAATTTTGAGCTAGTGCCAGCTTCAGTAGTTTTTAGCAAATAAATTATTTCATCAAAGAAAAAAAAGTTTTAGGTTTTTTTTTGTGAAAAGAAGACTTTTTCATTAAAACAACCTTACCTTACATTAATAAGAAGCATTCTAATATATTAGCGCAAGTTCCACAATGTCTGCTCCCTGCAGTAATCTCTAAGTCACAGTGGAAACTAGTTACAGTCTTCCTGCTTTTGTCTGACTTTATTACTGCAAACTACTTGCTGACTTTCCTAGCTTTTCTTTTTTTTTTTTTTTTAAACTGATTCAAATTTCTGCTCCTCATTTACACACGTTATCGTATCTCCCTCCTGTTTCACTATCATATCACTGGCTGCCTGCTAAGCAATGTATTCACTAAAAAGTGTTCTTTTGACCTTTAGATCACTTGTTCCCTCCTGTATAATAGATCTGCTCTCTCCATATAAAACTAGTCTATTCTTTGAAGTCAGCAGATGCCTGTGTTCTTACTATTCCTAAATACTGTTTGAAGTCACATGTAGTGCCTTAATAGCTTCTCTTTCTACTTTGGAACTAACTCCTTTAGGAATTCTTCCAGAGGCTGAGCCTTTTAAATCTAACCTTAAAGAGATTTTTAGACAACACTCCAAAAAAAAAAAAAAAAATTAGTTTTGCTGTTGTTGTTTTATCAGTGCTAATTATAACTTCACTGATTGTAAGCATCTCTGGAATGCAGGAATGAAGGTCACTACCAAAACACCAAAACATAAGACTTGTACAGCAAACCAGTCTAGGGTCTAAGAAAGGATCTTGTTAAGCAGTGTAAAACCTCATTACTGGACACCAACTCAAAGCATCTATTTACATAATAAATCATGCATTGTACATTTTTAGGATACACCATGAAAGCATGAAGAATTTGTATCTAATCTAAGAAAGACCAGCACTATTCATTTGGAATCATTTTTCAAATTTATTTCATACTTTCATACACCTTAGTTTATGGTCCTCACAGACCACAACTACATTGAGAGTGAAAACAAGTACCCGAAAGGTTAATCCATAAATTTGCCTCAGGCTTTTTGTGTAATTTCCTTCCATTTACATTAGTTTTCAGCAGAACTTTATTTTACCTGAAGATACAAGCATTTTTAAAACTGTCTTGGAAAGAGAGCAAATTAATGTGAAGGCAAAATTCCTCACTTCTTATTTATAACAGTCCCATTTGTTAAATAGTCCAATTACATCATCTTTTAATAAAAGAGGGTAACACATACTTACTGTGTAGCGTAATACCACACTAATTCAGAACATTCAAAATAACTCTGAAAGTTACTGAAGCATGAAAGTTTAAAATTGAAACTGTTAATGGAATGTTTCAATACCATTCCCTAAACTGATTTAAGTCAGGCATCAAAATTATTAAGACATACTCAAAACATTTTTCTCACTAAGATTATATTTTATCATATTTGTATATCAAATCTACACAGATAAACTCCAAAAATGTTCGTTACTGCTTATTATAATGCTATTAGTGATTAAAAATAATAACAGAGGTCCCTAAAGAACTACACAATATTAAGCCTGAAGTCAAGCTGAAGCCACAAAAGTTATTGCAAATGTAGATGACAAAGAATCTAAAAAGCTTACTTAAGCATATGTTTAAGCATCTTGCTGAATCAGGACCTGGGAGCAGAATTTGGCGCATTACTGGGATGATTTATATAATCTATAAATCATAAAGTACATAGACTATAAACAACAATTCCCTGTTCCCTGTATGATTCATGCCTCTCAGAATGTTATCTGAATACTTACTGCTATGGTACACTTACTGTGATGAATGTGGTCAGTTCTATGACATTGTCGTTTTGCAAGCTGCAAACAGAAAACAGTTAATGATCAGCTGAATCATCCTTTTATCAAGTAACTTCTACAAGGACAGAGTAACGCACATCTAGAAGAAGGAAAAAAAGTTCTCAGAAAAACATGGCCACAAAATATTTCCACTTTCCACTGGAAGTGCTGTAATTATCTCACACAGCCAATAAAGCAAGAATAGTTTAAGTCAGGTGTTATGCAATCACACTTTCTTCTGTTTGAACAATATGTAATTTATCCTTGTGATGTAATACATTGCATTTGCTTTATTGCAAATAATAATTAAAAGGAATCTTTCAGTTAAAAGGAAAATAATTCCAGTCTCACTAAAATCAACGGGAATTTTCAATTTTCTTTAACTGGAATCAGCATTTCATCTCATTAATGGGGTACTCTGGCACAAACCTTCAGCACATGCTGTAAGAATTCAGAAGCATGTCAGTGCTCATACAAAACCCATGTACAATTCAGCATACAAGTAAAACGGTTTTTAAAAAATTGTGTGGATTCCTTTCTTCACCTTCTTCATCTTCCTCTGCCTAAATCACGTTTCCTTGAACATACAGTTCAGATCTTCTATTTCCTATGCAATGTCTATAATAGATGTAACATCTAGAATACAAACATTTAAAGGAGACTTATTTGCTAAAATAGAAAAATCTGATATTGTTGGGGTTTTATAATAACTGAAATAGCTTTAAACAATAAACAATTCCAATTTTATACAGCTGAGGCTTTTAAAAGCCCCTTCCAGGGCATTAAACATGACACTGTCAATTCAAAATTTGTAGATGTACTTCAGCGGCAGAAGTGGACAATTTAAATGGAGGAAATAAGCATAATTCCCTATATATATACATCTATGTGTATATATATATTTATATATATATATTAAAAGAAAAAAATTCTACAGTAAAATGGTAAATCAAGTTCCCCCCCCCACACACACACACACTTTGGGGACTTGTAATATATGCATATATACACACACACACACATACATATTTATAAACCTAGGTTCATATATGGACCCTCTTTAATTTTTCTTTTATAGCATCATGCTGATAGAAATATAACACTTACTACGACATCTGTATTTAAAGATCCAAAATTTCAGCAATCTAGATCAGAAAGAATTGCTCTTCAGTTAAACAGCCCCCTAGGCCAACTAGAACCCTAGGCTTATCTTCAGAAGTTAGGAAACAAGGCTGTACTTCTCCTTTTAAATTGGAAACACGGCGTTTCCAACTAGAGCTTCCAACTGAAGCTCTAGTTCCTAGATGGTCACTGCAATTTTTCAATGATGTTCTATATCTGAGTACATCTATACCTGTGGCAGTGCCAGAAGTCTTGATCCAGCATTATTCCCAAAGGCACTGGATAACCCAACAAAACTCCAAATTAGAAGCTTAAATACATTTGAGGGTAGTAAGAAAAGTCCTTAAAGTTGCAGGTCATAATTTGCAAAGGATGACAAACAATTACAGTTTACTATTGACAGATCATACTGCAAAGTAGCAGCTTTCTGGTTCCTGAATAGTGACCAAGAAGAAGAAAAAGTTAGTTTCTATAAATAAATACTATCTGGGTGCCTAAGGACCCAACTGCACAGGAGAAGATCCTATTTTCTCCCTCAGGGGAACACTTCCAAAAGAGAAGAAAGTCCACAAGTGGCAATCCTGAGGAATTATCTCTGGCAATTGGCTGCCTCTGTCAGCTGCCACCTTCTTGCTCTACTTGGTCTCCTTCACCGGATACAAGAATGGAAAGAAATTCCTCTCTTAAAAGTCAGTGCTACAGCAAGCTTCAGAACACAAAAAGGGTCAGTGCTGGGAAAATGGTCTCAACATCATCAGAAACAAAAAAAATACCGCAAACAGAAAGAAGTTTCCAAAAGAAACTGGAAAAGAAATTGGAAAAAGACCATACAACTGCAAATAAAACCAGCTAAGTTTCATTCTTTCCCCAGATTAATTTTACTACGGCTCAAGCACTACAGGGTTTGCCCATGTTAAGAAGCATTCCTAAGAGCAAATGTTTTTCAGTGCAGTCCACGTGCATTCACAAAACCACTTGGTCCAGTCCAGGGCGTATCTCACAGCCTCTCACCGCACAAATCACAGCAGAAGTATATATTACATGAAGGTGCACGGGTACTTCCTAAGATTTCTTGGACTGATGACTAGATCTTTAATCACAAGACCTGCAATACAAGTTTAGTCCACCTTCAGCACTGATCTGAAGACCTGAAGATCTGCAGCCTGCCAAGTTTTCCCAATTTGTGCTCTAGCAGTCATGTCATTAGCAGTGTCCCGCTTGCGCATGCCCTTAATACCCGAGAACTTACTTATCTGAGTGAGAAGGTAAGCACCTTTCCATAGGCAGCCGAGGCATATAATTTACTGCAGCTAAGAGAGGGTCAGGTTCACCTTGGAAAGGGGTGACAATCAGGACATTTTAAACATGAAAGTTTACATTATCAATTGTTTACTTCATATGTGTGACATATACACACATATTGCATCTTTAATTAACCTAACTCTACTTTAAATAATGTATGCAAATTATACATGAAGTATATATTCTTCATATTTTCTCCCGTCTTTTGTACATTTCTTATCTGGTGGTCCTAAGAGAATCAAAACACAGTTATCAGTGGTGCAACACAATTTTATCATCATCACTTTGAAAAACTGTAAATAACAAGCCTGACTTGTTCTGTAAGACTTATTTCTGTTTTACAGAAATTACTGTAGTTAAAAAGCACAAACACAGTTGTGTCTTTCTTTAATAACGAAACTACCATTTGTGAGTAGTAACATGTATAATTTTTACATTAACACTATGAGAGCTGATCAGAAGCGTATATTCTAAAGAAACTTATGAAGTCAAGTTAAATAAAAGGGACAGGACTTTAACAGCACAAAAAGCTTTAAATAAATAAATAAAAAGAAATGCACTTAGTTCCAGGTAGTGTTTCATACCAACTGTACCCCACTAATCTAAAAGTGAGCCCAAGCCCAAATTTAAGCTTCTGTTTACAAACTTTATTTGTAGAAAGACATCCAGCATCTGAAAATCTAGAGTAAAGACAGGATAAGTCTAGAGTAAGGATGGGATAAATACAATATGTTACTGTCTCAGAAGAAAGAAACATTTGCCTAAATGGGTTATATCTACCCTACAACCATCACTGGGACCACGGTTGAACTAGGTGGTTTTTGCTAGTTCATGCTTATTTTGTGTTCATTTGCATGCTTATTTTGCTACCTCCTCCAGAGAAGATTGCTCAGTCTTGGTATTTGTTTCACTCAAAATCAAATTTGTATTATCTGACCAATTAGTTTTCACTATTGGTAGAAAACTTTATTTAGAAGAAGACTCAAGAAAGAATCATAATTTCTGTATTCAGAAAGTAGGTTCTGTAAAAAACAAATGTAAAATGTCAACAGAGAGACCTGCCTTTTATTTACAGCACAAATTGCTAAGAAAACATGACTAAGCCAAGCAATTATGAACTCTGAAAAATAACTCTCTGCTGCAGATATATTTAGAGCAAGACTGAAGCTTTATGTTTAACATGCTTTGAAACTACAGAAGAGGAAGCATCTATACCTTCATAAATAATAAAGAAATTCAGTGTTTCTTACACGTTTCTACATGTGTATTGCTAAACGTTTCTACACGTGTATTTCTTACACGTGTATTGCTAATCTCTCCAATTAAAAGAATAGATTGATTCTGGCCATACTGTCCTAAGCACAAAATTACCAGTGACTTACGTACAGACGCTATAATGCGTGGAAAACTGAGCTGAAACTCAACAGTGAACGTGTCATTTGGCATGAACTTCAGGAAGTTGCACAACACCAACATGTCAGTGCAATGAAGATGTTAGCAAGAACCAATGAATACCATGTCAGATTAAAAATTATTTTCCTTAAGACAACTCATGTACTTATTTTGAAATGAAAAACTTAGGATTTGTCATTTAGTGGTTTAGTTTCATCAAAAGATGAAAAACCCCAACTACTTACAAAGAGGTCTTTATGTACAGTTATTGTGTTTATTATAGCCCAAAAGAATAAAATCTTATTATAATTCATTTGTAGACCTGATTATTACAAAGTATAAAGCAAAATATCTTTAAATGTAAATAAAATGTGAAATTTAATTTCACATTTCAGATTAAGTAATTAAACATATAAAAAGCCAGAAATTGTTGAAATTCTATACTGAAAGCAAGGAATTTTAATGTTTAAAACAGCAAAACCAGAAAATGCAGTAAGTCCCTGAAGAAGAAGGCTGAAATCTGACTTTTTTTCTCTCATTTTTCCATATTCACCCAGCACAGGTCTTCTCTCATTAACTACAGTGTTGCTGTACACTCACAGAGGGGTGAGCAAATCCCTTCTCAAACTGCAGAAACGGGATGGTTCATGTGCACAGGTAAAACAGTTTTACTTTATAATTAACTGTGCAATTAAATGTCATTTAAAGCCTTTTTCTGCATTATTTCTGCATTGTTTACAAAGTAAAAAGGAAATTTCCTGTGCTTAATATTAGCACAGAAATGCAGCTAATAAAGTTTTGAATTAAGTGGGAAGTCAGGGTGGGGTGAATTCCCATCTTCATTACTGCTATCATTTGGCAAGTGTTCTCTTTATGCAAGACTGGTATAACTGGTTTACCTTCTAGCAATGGTATCTGCCCAATTAAATGAAAACCTAGAACTTGAAAATACTACAAAATACTGCAAAAACTGCAAGATTTTCATAAAATTGTGAGGTCGGGGTCATCTTTTTTATTACCGCAATTTGCTTATTTCTCCAATAAAAACAATACATTACATAAACTTATAAAACTTGGTGCTGCTGCCATTTTAGTTATAATGTTAAAAAAAAAGTTTTAAAGCATTTAAGTTTTAAATTCACATTCTTCCTACTTTCCATTAGTAATTCAGGACTTCTCTATTCCTGAAGATTACAGTGACAGGA